CAGATTTCAGCGATGTTACATCTTTGGATGACAATTACTGAGTCACGCAACACTGCACCCAAATTACATTTTTTGGCCCTCTCCTACATGTACAAATCAGCTGTGGTTTTTTTTTTTTTTTTTTTTTTTTTTTGTGGTAGAAAATGACTTAACCCCCAAACATTTTTATATATACGATGGGTGTTCAAGTCAAACCGGGACTTTTGAGTTTATATAATAGAACAAATTTCAAGAAATGAAAACTGCATTTATTTTTCGACATACTCCCCTGGATTTTATACACTTATCCCAGTGTTCAGAGGAGAAGTACAGCTAAAGCTCATTTGGCTGTACTTCTCTGGATCACAGGAGTTCAGTTCGTTCTGCACTTCTGTGACCCGTTTTAGCCAACAGTGGGCTGAAGCCTGCTGTCAGCTGACGACACTCAGCCGGTTCAGGCTGAGGAAAGATCCCAACTTCAGAGTTGGGATGCACCCCAGAGTGGAGTGGCACCTGTCTCAGCCTCTCAGTGAGCCACTGAGAGCCTGAGCCAGCTACTCCCTCCCCCTCCACAGCCCAGCGCTCCAGTAAGCGCTGAGGACGGGGGGCATAGCAGACAGCTGTGACTGACATTCACTGCTCAAAGCGGCTTTGAGAACTCAGTGATCAGCAGTCATGTGATTGCTGGGTTCTCACACTTGAAGCTGGCGGGGAACAGATGCAGCATCGGACTGATGCTGCATCCACGTAAGTATAAATGGGTGGAGGGGGGGGGTCCCACACTTCTCGTTTTAAAGTGTTCCTAAACCCAGGACCCTGCATTCACTATATATGGTCTCCCACAGTACACAGAACATGGAAATGCAATTATTTTAGTAAACATAAACTGCTAAATACCTTTTCTCATCCACAGAGCAGTCTTGTGACTTCTATTGGTGTCCAGCCGAGCACATGTTAAAGCTTGTAGGAGGAGTTTTCATTCTTCTCTAGGAAGATGCAGAACCTCTGACCTCTGTCGGGACAGTGCTGATTGGCCCTGTGCTGATCACATGCACTCTAGCAATACACACCAAAATGAGCATGTGCAGAGTGACTCAACATGATATGTCTCATAAGGAGATAAGAGGGGGGCACTGGATGAAGGGGAGGATCAGAGAAGTCGGGATCAAACTGTCTTTTTACACAATACGAAGGATTAACCCCTTAGGTTCCACATTGAGTATAACAATCATGCTTTACTGCATACACAGACTGATGTTGTTGTGGGTTTAATACGTTAATGCCTGGAAAGTTTCGGCATAGAAAGATTTGTTAGTATGCCTGAACCATCTTAAGACAGCCTGCTTCACTTCGTCATCATTGTGTTCACTGTTCCCACAGAAAGATTTCACAACAGGTTATGTGTCAATTATCCAGGATCAGGCGTTCCACACACTGAATGTTCATAGGAATGACTGCTGTGGGCTAAGAACCACCACGGCCGGGATTGTCAATGACTGATGTGCAGCCATCTTTGAAACATTTATACCTTTTCAAATGTCTTATTGCAGTTGAGCATCTAATCATTGTACTGTGCCTGAAGTCTTCTGTAGATATCTGCGGGTTTTATACCTTTTGTTCATGAGAAACTTCATTATCGTCTCTGGACTGGCCCACAACATGAGTGCCGCCTTTCAGTAATGGGACTTGCCACTTACTACTGCATATAGTACTGCCACGCTGGAATCTTTTTTTTTTTTTTTTTTTTTTTTTTTTTTTTTTTTTACATGTAAAATGAAGTATGTATGTAATGTGTGTGTATATATATTTCATTACGCTGTATTGGGGCACCCCTCTAAATCATTGGATTCAGGTTCCAATCACCTCCATGGCCACAGGTGTATAAAATCAAGCCCCTAGGCATGCAAACTGCTTCTACAAACATTTGTGAAAGAATGGGTCGCTCTCAGAAGCTCAGTGAATTCAAGCGTGGTCCCGTGATAGGTTGCCACCTGTGCAATAAGTCCATCCGTAAAATTTCCTTGCTACAAAATATTCCATAGTCAACTGTTAGTGGTATTATAACAAAGTGGAAGCAACTGGGAACAACAGCAACGAAGTGGTAGGCCACGTAAAATGGCTGAGCGGGGTCAGCACATGCTGAAGCGCACAGTGCGCAGATGTTGCCAACTGTCTGCAGAGTCAATAGCTAAAGATCTCCAAACTTTGTGTGGCCTTCTGATTAGAGAGGTTCATGGAATGGGTTTCCATGGCCGAGCAGCTGCACCCAAGCTTTACATCACCAAGTGCAATGCAAAGCGTCGGATGCAGTGACATAAAGCATGCCGCCACTGGACTCTAGAGCAGTGGAGACGTGTTCTCTGGATTGGCGAACCACGCTTCTCTGTTTGGCAATCCGATGGACGTCTGGGTTTGGCTGTTGCCAGGAGAACAGTACTTGCCTGGCTGCATTGTGCCAAATGTAAAGTTTTTGGTGGGGGGGGGGGGGGGGGGGGGGGGGATTTGGTGTGGGGTTGCGTTTCAGGGGTTGGGCTTGGCCCCCTAGATCCAGTGAAAGGAGCTCTTAAGGCGTAAGCATACCAAGGCATTTTGGACAATTTCATGCTCCCAACTTTGTGGGAACAGTTTGGGGATGGCCCCTTCCTGTTCCAACATGACTGCACACCAGTGCACAAAGCAGGTCCATAAAGACATGGATGAGCAAGTTTGGGGTGGAGGAACTTTACTGGCCTTCACAGTGTCCTGACCTCAAGTCGATTAGAACACCTTTGGGATGAATTAGAGCGGAGACTGCGAGCCAGTCCTTCTCGTCCAACATCCGTGCCTTACCTCACAAATGACCAACTCAAAATTGAACCCTACGGACTAAGACTGGGATGCTATTAAAGTTCATGTGTGTGTGTGTAAAGGTTGGCGGCCCAATACTTTTGGCAATATAGTGTGTGTTTGTTGCTAACACAGCTGGCTTGGGAAGGCTGCTTTCTAAGCAGGTTGGGAACAGAAGCGCTGCAAAAGAGAAAAGGGATGGGGAGAGAGATGCCAAGCTGCCAATAGTGTAGCAAAGTTTATTAAATGGAAAAGGGTATAAAATACAATAATTATTCACTCAGACATCGCCGTTAATGAGCACTGAATCAAGCTCCAAATGGAGACTTCAGTCCAGAGTCCAGTCCACCTCAGTGCCACTGTCAGGAATATTGTGATGCTGAAGCAGGGATCCTAGCAAGCTGCTGGGGAGCCCCGCTGGAGGTCAGAACTGTCCAAGGAGCTGTCAAACGTCCAGGGTGCTGTGACCAGTCAGAACGTGTTTCGAAGGTAAAAATCACACTGCCTTCATCAGCCTGCTGAAGGATGTGTGGTTTGGCCTACACTGGATTAGAGTGCACTGTAAGGGATTGGCTGAGGTACAGCGTCTCTTAAGAGTTACCTCTTTAAGCAAAGGGACAAGGCCTCAGGGCAGCAGATGTTAGGGACAGACTTTAGTCCTGACTCTTCATCCAGCTAAGTGTTGGGGTCTGGTAACTGTTGGTGCTCTATAAAGCAGTCAGTAAGGCCTGCAGGCTGTATTAGAGCTATAGGGTAGCTGGTTGGTAGCTCCTAACTGCTCAGTCTCTAGTGGTGGTAACAAGTAGTGGCTACAAGACCCTCTCACCAGACACGGCAGCAGTGATCCCTCTGATCAGGTGTCCGCTCACTGTGGTAGGCGGCAGCACAAAAGGTCTGTACCCCTGCAGCAGCTTCATCCCTCCATACTCTGGTCATGCTCTAGACTCTGGTAGTACCACACATGGCAGTGGGCTTTCGCTGTCAGATTCTCTTTCCCTAAGAGGGTATCCCCCAGTACAGTCCTCGCACACTCTGCCTGGATAGCACTGAACTGAGGAGAAAACATTTTCCAGAAAAACGTGGTTCTCTACTCCTAGTGGATTGGTCCACTGCTTTTGCTAGCAGAGAGGGGGAAGAGAGTCCACATACATAGTCCTCTCTTGTCACTAAACTCTGGGCTGCTGACTGGAGGAGGAGGGGGGTGAGCAGGGAGCTAGATAACCTGCACCTTACCTCTTCCCTGTTCTTCCTTGGAGACTCCCAAGCCGAAGTTGTGATTCTGCCTATGCTGACATGCATGGGTAGCCAGAGAAGCCTAGATGAAGTGTGTAGGTTTGTTAGCACTTGGAACTATGGGATTTATTTCTAAAGCTGATCAGGGACTTTCTGTGAAGTTGTGTACGCGCTCATTTACTGAAGGCCAGCGGTTGTAAACTTACCGAGTTGTATTGTGTCCTGGACTCTCTAAAGCAATTTAATGTCCTATGTCGGGGTCTGCAACCCAACAATCATGATCCACCTGTCGAACGCAGACAGGTGACTGGTAGATCGTGCCACTTTGCCGACACCAGACTGCTCCTCCCATACATGCAGAGCCACTCCTTTGACAAGCAAAATGAAGGGTAACCTGGAAAGTAGGCGTGCGAGAAGTGGCATTTACTGAAACCCTCTCCCCAGCAGGTGAAAAGGTGAAAGTCTGTTCCTCTCCAAAGTTTCATTATTAAATATTACATATTGATATGGGCTTCATTAAAGTGAATCTTCAGGACCCCCCCCCATCCTTCTTGTTATGCTCACATTTTTTGGTTTACATTTCCCCCTACTTCGCTTAGGCCTCAGCACAGCATCCTGGAAGGGAGGTCAAATGCCGATCTGTTCCCAAAAGGGGAAAAGTATTTACTAAGAGCTCTGGAAGTGGTGTTATGGGTGAGTACCAGCGGGTGGGAAGTTCTTACAAGGAGGACCTTTCATTTTGCCCATTCAAGGCAAAATGGCAGACTCCTTAAATGGGAGCCACTGCCTTGTTTATCTTGTAAGTTGAATGGAGCCCATAATGGCAAGGCAACAGCTCTAACTACTGCGTGGCCTGTAGGCCGTGTGTGTGTGTGTGTGTGTGTGTGTGTGTGTGTGTGTGTGTGTTTACAGTCCATGTTGCTGCAGCCCTTTGTAAGGTTTCTGACACTGTATCTCTCTTGCAGCCAGACTGTTGATCTCCTCATGCAAGAATCAGGATGTCGCTTAGAGCATTCTGCGGCTACCAAGTTCCGCAACCATGTCATGGAAGGAGAGTGGGACAAGGTAATGCTGCTACTGCCACTCCATTTAACCTTTCATAGCAGTTAATGGGTATACAGATCCTAGCTGATGAGACTCCCTGTATATAGGGGATTGTTGGCTGTGGTGAAAAACTTTGGTAACTCACTGAAGCTGTTTGGTTCGATCTTTGCAGGCGGAGAACGATCTTAATGAACTCAAGTCCTTAGTGCACACTCCTCATTCAGTAATGGTAAGTAACCTTTGATAATTTATGGTATTTGTAGCTGGTTAATATTCCTGGTGTTTTCATTTTATTCTTTGGGTATTGGAAACAATACATGCTTTTTGTTTAGCTACCCTGTCACCAATTTAAACATTAGCAGCTGAGGTCTTCCAGAGTTCCAAGTTTGGACCACCTCCCATGGCCATTGTGAAAACACTGCTCAAGCCCATTTAGACTTTAAAGAACTGTAGGCAAAACTTTTTTTCCATTTTGGATGGAGCAAGGAGAGGGTTATAACACCTGTCCAAACTTTTTTTTTTTTTTTTTTTTTTTTTTTTTTTTATACTTTTGCCATGTGCCATTTACATTTACCTTCACTTCCCATCCCATAGCCAAACCGGAAGCGAGAGGAACTCCTGTGAATTTCGGGAATTCCTTGGGGACCCCCAGGTCACCAGAAATAGTGTCTCCATTGGAGGATTTCCCCTCTAGTACTTTTTTTTAGGGGACAACCCAAAACTTGGGATTTTCTTTTTACTTTCACTTTTGATGATAATGGTAAACAAGACAAATGAAGAGGGCAATAATTAATGGGGGCAATAAGAACTGACAGGGGTTCTAATCCCTCTCCACGGTGTCAAAAACGGGGAAAAAAAAAAGTTTTGCCTATAGTTATACTTTAAATTTAATTCCAGACAAAACCTATTTATTGCATTGGGGTGCATTTTTTTATTTTTATTTATTTATTTTTTTTGAATGCAACAGTCTAAGTGGGTCTTCTGTTTATATTATTCTTTTTTTTTTTTTATTTTTTTTTTGAGCATTATAGTTTGGCATGCAAATGACTGAAAACCGTGGCAAGGTTGGCTGCTTTGTGGGCTAAACAGGATGGCACATGTGACCTGAGCGTTCTGTTTAGTGCTAAAATTGTAGCAGCTAGCTGTATGCTACTGTGATTGTTCTCTGACTGTTGCCAGGTTTGTGACACAAGGCTTTCTGTGTTTGTTCAGGGACCATACTAGTCACTGCAGACTGTATTATGGGAGCTAAAAATAGTCCCACAAGTTTAGTACTGGCAAGAAGTACAGCAGCTGGGAATACATCATTATTTCTCATGTGGTGCGTTTCTTGGGGTATGTCTGCCTGTTACAAGTAAACTTCAGAATGCTGATTTTTATAGAGCTTGTTGTTTATTAAACAAGAATCTCAATGTTCATTCTTAAAGCGGAGCTCCACCCAAAAGGGGAAGTTATGCTTTAAGCCTTTGTCTCCCACACCCCGTTAAGAATTGGCACCATTTGGGGAGAGTACCCAAATTTGACAGGTACCCGCTCCCACTTGCTGTGATCGCCTAAGGTGATCGGAAGAGAAAGTTGTCCCTCCCCCCCCCCTCCCCGTAGTATTCTGGGACACATGACAGGTCCCAGAAAACTACGGGGCCATTCACAAAGCGCAGTGGGCACCTGACTGTGTAGCCACAAGCTGTCATTGCCTGGATGCTGGGGAGAGGAGACCGCTGGTGAAACCAGCCATCAGGAGGACACTGCTGGACCAAGGGACAGGTAGGTGTCTGTATTTTAAAAGTCGGCAGCAGCTTTTGTAGCTGCTGACTTTTATTTTTATTCAACTGGAACTCTGCTTCAAAGTGTATCATAACCAAATCCTTTTATTTAGAAAGCGTGGGGAAGGCTTAGAACCTCTTATCTGTGTTTTCTTTATTGCTGTCTGCTAGAGGGATTAATCCCCTCTTTGCCCAGAACCATTGCGACTGGGACTGAAATTTATGGACAGTTTTAACATTTTACAGCTGTTTATCATAATAAAGTGTGTGTGTGTGACACCTGCTTGATGATGACCGCTAAAACTGGCCATAGATGGTTAGAGAGTTGAATGAAAAATCGAGTCGTTAGGCTGACTATTCGGTTTTCGTATGGCTTGTGTGCTTACCGCGACAATCGATTTTCGTGTCAAGATTAAAAATGGACCATTGATGGCCATATTGAGTTTTGTTTGAATTTTCTTTTTCTATACATCTGTAGCCAGCTTTTGAGGGATTACTGATAACTTTCACTTCTGTTTATCTTCAGGTGATTTAGAGCCCACTCACATATAAAGGCAGCTTTCGCACAGTAAATTTCAGTGATCCGGTGGTAGGGGGCGGTTTGATTTTTAATATTTTTTTTTTCACACACTGTGAATTGGCTCTCCGCTCCCACTTCCGGGTCAGATTGCCTTGGCAAAGTGAGCCAGATGTTTGGCCCCCTCCTTCCCGCAGTCTCCTGGGAACCTTCACAGGTCCCAGAAGACTGCCGGACCAATCAGCGCAACACTCGTCTGTGAAGGCGCAAGCTGTCACAGCCTGGTGCCCACAGTTGAGATGCTGGCGCCAGGGAGAGAAAAAAGAGAAGGGACAGCTGGGGTGAGCACATCGCTGCATCCTAGGACAGGTAAGTGTGTGTTTATTAAGTCAGTAGCTACAGTTTTTGTAGCTGCTGACTTTTAATAAACACAGACTGCTGGAACTCTGCTTTAAGGGATATTTTCCTAACAAACAAGATAAAACTGTGCTCAAATGCATGTACAGTTCATCCAGAAAGTTTTCACAACGCGTAACTTTTGCCTCATTTTCTTACATTACAGCCTTTCTCCAAAATGGATTAAATTCTTTTTTTCCCTCAACATTCTACAAACAATACCCCATAATGACAACGTGAAAGATATTCGTTTTGAAATCTTTGCAATTTAATAAAAATAAAAAACATTAAAAAAACCTCCACATGTACATAAGTATTCAAAGCCTTTGCCATGACACTCAAAATTGAGCTCTGGTGCATCCTGTTCCCACTGATCATTCTTGAGATGTTTCCACAACTTGATTGGAGTCCACCTGTGGGAAATTCAGTTGAGTGGACATGATTGGGAAAGGCATAAACCTGTCTGTATAAGGTCCCACAGTTAACAGTGCATGTCAGAGCACAAACCAAGCCATGAAGTCCACGGAATTTCCCATAGACCTCCATGACAGGATTGTATCAAGGCACAGATCTGGGGAAGGGTACAGAAATATTTCTGCAGCATTGAAGGTCCCAGTGAGCACAGTGGCTTCCATCATCTGTAAATGGAAGAAGTTTGGAACCACTAGGAATCTTCCTAGAGCAGGCCGCTCGGCCAAAATGAGTGATCGAGGGAGAAGGGCCTTAGCCAGGGAAATGACTAAGCACCCAATGGTCACTCTGAAAGAGCTTCAGCGTTTTTCTGTGCAGAGAGGAGAACCTTCCAGAAGAACAACAATCTCTGCAGCACTCCACCAATCAGGCCTGTATGGTAAAGTGGCCAGACGGAAGCCACTCCTCAGTAAAAGGAAAATGGCAGCCCGCCTGGAGTTTGCCAAAAGTCACCTGAAGGACTCTCAGACCATGAGAAACAAAACACTCTGGTCTGATGAAACAAAGATTGAACTCTTTGGCCTGAATGCCAAGCGTCATGTCTGGAGGAAACCAGGCACCGCTCACCACCTAGCCAATACCATCCCTACATTGAAGCATGGTGGTGGCAGCATCATGCTGTGGGGATGGTTTTCAGCGGCAGGAACTGGGAGACTAGTCAGGATTGAAGGAAAGATGAATGCAGCAATGTACAGACACATCCTTGATGAAAACCTGTTCCAGAGCACTCTGGACCTTAGACTGGGGCGATGGTTCACCTTTCAACAGGACAATGATCATAAGCACACAGCCCACATAACAAATGAGTGGCTACCGACCAACTCTGTGAATGTCCTGGAGTTGCCCCGCCAGAGCCCAGACTTGAACCTGATTTAAACATCTCTGGAGAGATCTGAAAATGGCTGTGCTCCCCATCCAACCTGATGGAGCTTGAGAGGTACTGCAAAGAAGAATGGGAGAAATTGCTCAAAAATAGGTATGCCAAGCTTGTAGCATCATACTCAAAAATGACTTGAGGCTCTAATTGGTGCTAAAGGGGCTTCAACAAAGTATTGAGCAAAAGGCTGTGAATACTTGCATACATGTGGTTTTTCGTTTTTTTATTTTTAATAAATTACAAAGATTTCAAAACAAACTTTTCTTGTCATTATGGGGTATTTTTTTTGAGAATGTTGAGGAAAAAAATTACTCCATTTTGGAATAAGGCTGTAACATAAAATACTTTCTGGATGCACTGTACAAGCTATAGGTATTTGAGCACATGGATATCTCGTTTCTGTTGCATAGCAGGTTAGTGGCCAGACCTAAACCTAGTAGCTCTCCCCCCACTTTGTGTCTGTTTGCCCCAGGTTGGAATTGTGTCCACAGTAGCATTTGTGTTGGCAGAGTAGGACTGGTCATAGATTTGCTTTGAATCTAGGGGCCAGCTAAAGTTGGGAGCCCTTTTTACTTTACCTGATACATTCTGCTGCGAGACAATCACGGCAAAACATGTTTATAGGCACCATAAAACACAAAATGACCCCTGAACCTGCATTTTGCAATCATGGCAATTTTGTCGCACTCACAAAATGCCCTGGTGTGTATGGAGCTGTTCTGGTTCACATATATACAATTCTGGATGCGTTTTCGGACTCCGATTCACTTGACAAGCTAGATATTGTATTCCTATTGAGGTGGTTCACACAGATGCAACCCACACGCATTGCGTTCTGAGTGGCATTATGAAGAGGGTCCTGTGCAAGTTTGAAGTGATGCATTCCAGACTCGCAAGTGATAGAGTATAGTGGCATGCAGAGAAAAGCATTCACATAGGATTGCTATTAACAGGGTTTTTGCATTGAAGTCTATGGGAGGCAGTGTGTGAATCCAGGCGCCAGGATGCAATTTCTAGTTGCTATGGCAACCTAGCACCTGGGATTTGCCAAGCCCTGGTTTAAGATTAGATGGATTTAGATTGGAATTCCACTTTAAAGCAATCCTCCACTGTGGAGTAATTTTAAAGATCTACAGTCACAGCATATACTTTAATTTTGTAACCGCAGTGTCATTGCAATAAAAACAATAGTTATTTTTGATAAT